GAACCTCAGCGAATCTCGACTCTTCGAGAAGTCCACTCAAGTTGGCCCTGTGCTCTCAATTCGTGTTTACCGTGATACAAAGTCGACGATGCGCATCAGGTGGTCGAACGTGGTTATTAAGAATAGAACTTTTGACCGCATCAAGTAATATTTGTTTTGTTTAGAAATGACCGTGCCAGTCACCACAACTGTTCCATCGATGAACTCTGGACCTTCTCTGCTCTTCACTCTGGACCTTCGCTCTACTCTTCACTCTGGACCTTCGCTCTACTCTTCACTCTGGACCTTCGCTCTACTCTTCACTCTACGTTGGTGATCTTCACCGGAACCTCAGCGAATCTCGACTCTTCGAGAAGTCCACTCAAGCTGGCCCTGTGCTCTCAATTCGTGTTTACCGTGATGCAAAGTCGACGATGCGCATCAGGTGGTCGAACGTCGTTATTAAGAATAGAACTTTTGACCGCATCAAGTAATATTTGTTTTGTTTAGGAAATGACCGTGCCAGTCACCACAACTGTTCCATCGATGCACTCTGGACCTTCCCTCTACTCTTCACTCTGGACCTTCGCTCTACTCTTCACTCTACGTTGGTCTTCACCGGAACCTCAGCGAATCTCGACTCTTCGAGAAGTCCTCTCAGCTGGCCCTGTGCCTCAACCCGTGTTTACCGTGATGCAAAGTCGACGATGCGCATCAGGTGGTCGAAGCGTGGTTTTTAAGACTAGAACTTTTGACCGCATCAAGTAATATTTGTTTTGTTTAGGAAATGAGCGTGCCAGTCACCACAACTGTTCCATCGATGAACTCTGGACCTTCCCTCTACTCTTCACTCTGGACCTTTGCTCTACTCTTCACTATGGACCTTTGCTCTACTCTTCACTCTGGACCTTTGCTCTACTCTTCACTCTGGACCTTTGCTCTACTCTTCGCTCTGGACCTTTGCTCTACTCTTCACTCTGGACCTTTGCTCTACTCTTCACTCTGGACCTTTGCTCTACTCTTCACTCTGGACTCGATGGCTTCAATCTACGTTGGTGATCTTCACCGGAACCTCAGCGAATCTCGACTCTTCGAGAAGTCCACTCAAGCTGGCCCTGTGCTCTCAATTCGTGTTTACCGTGATGCAAAGTCGACGATGCGCATCAGGTGGTCGAACCGTGGTTTTTAAGACTAGAACTTTTGACCGCATCAAGTAATATTTGTTTTGTTTAGGAAATGAGCGTGCCAGTCACCACAACTGTTCCATCGATGAACTCTGGACCTTCCCCTACTCTTCACCTGACCGCCTACTCTTCACTGACCTTTGCTCTACTCTTCACTCTGGACCTTCGCTCTACTCTTCACTCTACGTTGTGATCTTCACCGGAACCTCAGCGAATCTCGACTCTTCGAGAAGTCCACCTAAGCTGGCCCTGTGTTCTCAACTCGTGTTTACCATGATGCAAAGTCGACGATGCGCATCAGGTGGTCGAACCGTGGTTTTTAAGACTAGAACTTTGACCGCATCAAGTAATATTTGTTTTGTTTAGGGAAATGACCGTGCCAGTCACTACAACTGTTCCATCGATGAACTCTGGACCTTCGCTCCGCTCTTCACTCTGACCTCTGCTCTACTCTTCACTCTGGACCTTCGCTCTACTCTTCACTCTGACCTTCGCTCTACTCTTCACTCTACGTTGGTGATCTTCACCGGAACCTCAGCGAATCTCGACTCTTCGAGAAGTCCACTGCTGGCCCTGTGCCTCAATCTCGTGTTTACCGTGATGCAAAGTCGACGATGCGCATCAGGTGGTCGAACCGTGGTTTTAAGACTAGAACTTTGACCGCATCATGCAATATTTGTTTTGTTTAGGAAATGACCGTGCCAGTCACCACAACTGTTCCATCGATGCACTCTGGACCTTCCTCTACTCTTCACTCTGACCTTCGCTCTCTCTTCACTCTGACTTGATCACTCTCCCCACGTTGGTCCTTCACCGGAACCTCAGCGAATCTCGACCTCGAGAAGTCCACCAAGCTGGCCCTGTGCCTCAATCCGTGTTACCGTGATACAAAGTCGACGATGCGCATCAGGTGGTCGAACGTGGTTATTAAGAATAGAGCTTTGACCGCATCAAGTAATATTTGTTTTGTTTAGGAAATGACCGTGCCAGTCACCACAACTGTTCCATCGATGAACCCTGGACCTTCGCCTGCTCTTCACTCTGGACCTCGCTCTACTCTTCACTCTGGACCTTCGCTCTACTCTTCACTCTGCGACCTCGCTCTACTCTTCACTCTACGTTGGTGATCTTCACCGGAACCTCAGCGAATCTCGACTCTTCGAGAAGTCCACTCAAGCTGGCCCTGTGCTCTCAATTCGTGTTTACCGTGATGCAAAGTCGACGATGCGCATCAGGTGGTCGAACCGTGGTTTTTAAGACTAGAACTTTGACCGCATCAAGTAATATTTGTTTTGTTTAGGAAATGACCGTGCCAGTCACCACAACTGTTCCATCGATGCACCTGACCTTCCTCTACTCTTCACTCTGACCTTCGCTCTACTCTTCACTCTACGTTGGCCTTCACCGAACCTCAGCGAATCTCGACTCTTCGAGAAGTCCTCTCAGCTGGCCCTGTGCTCTCAATTGTGTTTACCATGATGCAAAGTCGACGATGCGCACTCAGGTGGTCGAAGCGTGGTTTTTAAGACTAGAACTTTGACTGCATCAAGTAATATTTGTTTTGTTTAGGAAATGAGCGTGCCAGTCACCACAACTGTTCCATCGATGAACTCTGGACCTTCCCTCTACTCTTCACTCTGACCTTTGCTCTACTTCTTCACTATGGACCTTGCTCTACTCTTCACTCTGGACCTTGCTCTACTTCTTCACTCTGGACCTTTGCTCTACTCTTCGCCTGGACCCTTGCTCTACTCTTCACTCTGGACCTTGTCTACCTTCACTCTGGACCTGATGGTTTCAATCTACGTTGGTGATCTTCACTGAACCTCAGCGAACCTCGACTCTTCGAGAAGTCCACTCAAGCTGGCCCTGAGCTCTCAATTCGTGTTTACCGTGATGCAAAGTCGACGATGCGCATCAGGTGGTCGAACCGTGGTTTTTAAGACTAGAACTTTGACCGCATCAAGTAATATTTGTTTTGTTTAGGAAATGACCGTGCCAGTCACCACAACTGTTCCATCGATGAACTCTGACCTTCGCTCTGCTCTTCACTCTGACCTTCGCTCTACCTTCTTCACTCTGGACCTTCGCTCTACTTCTTCACTCTACGTTGGTCTTCACCGGAACCTCAGCGAATCTCGACTCTTCGAGAAGTCCACTCAAGCTGGCCCTGTGCTCAATTCGTGTTTACCGTGATGCAAAGTCGACGATGCGCATCAGGTGGTCGAACGTGGTTATTAAGAATAGAACTTTGACCGCATCAAGTAATATTTGTTTTGTTTAGGAAATGAGCGTGCCAGTCACCACCAACTGTTCCATCGATGAACCCTCGACCTTCCCCCTACTCTTCACTCTGACCTTCCTCTACTCTTCACTATGGACCTTGCTCTACTCCTCACTCTGGACCTTGTTCACTCTTCACTCTGACCTTTGCTCTACTCTCTTCACTCTGGACCTTTGCTCTACTCTTCACTCTGGACCTTGTCTACTCTCACTCTGGACCTTGCTCTACTTCTTCACTCTGACCTTCGCTCTACCTTCACTCTACGTTAGTCTTCACCTGAACCTCAGCGAATCTCGACTCTTCGAGAAGTCCACTCAAGCTGGCCCTGTCTCTCAATCTGTGTTTACTGTGATACAAAGTCGACGATGCGCAAGAGGTGGTCGGAACTCTTTTTTAAGACTAGAACTTTTGACCGCATCAAGTAATATTTGTTTTGTTTAGGAAATGAGCGTGCCAGTCACCACAACTGTTCCAACGATGAACTCTGGACCTTCGCTCTACTCTTCACTCTGGACCTTTGCTCTACTCTTCACTATGGACCTTGCTCTGCTCTTCACTCTGACCTTGCTCTACCTTCACTCTGACCTTTGCTCTACTTCTTCACTCTGGACCTTTGCCCCTCCTTTCACTCCTGACTTGCTCTACTCTTCACTTGACCCGCTTCAGGATGTCGGATGAATGGATGAATGGAAGGTCGATGCGCGCATGTGGTCAAACCGTGATCCATCCGCTCGACGCTCCGGGGCTGGCAACATCTTCGTCAAGAACCTGGACAAGTGAATCGATTACAAGGCTCTCCACGACACCTTCTCACATATTGGAAACATTCACTTTGAAGAAGAAGATGCCGCTATTCGAGCCATTGACAAGGTGAATGGAATGCTGCTGGCGGAAAAGGGGTATTTCGTAGGCAAATTCAAACCCCGCTCTGCTCGCATAAAGGAATTGGGAGAGTCGCCTCACGCATTCAACAACACCTTCGTCAAGAACTTCGGCTCCAATCTTGACAACGAGGGACTCCAGAAACTATTCGAAAAGTTTGGACCAATCGAAAGCTGCGTAGTGATGCTAGATGCTGAGGACAATTACAAGGATTGAATTGGAATTTGAAGCGGGAAATCGAAAACACGGAGCTGCTCATGTTGCTCAACGATCGAGAGCTCTTCCGTCAACGCGTGCAAGAGGCTTCCAATGTGCTTCCCCCGGTCAAAGCAACTAAACTAACTGGTTCAATTTTTATGTATCTTTGTATGTCAGGTGTTCTTGTTTTCAAAACGTTTCATTTCCTTTTCTATGAATGGTAGAATTGACTTCAATTCATTATTTTTGCTTACGGTTTTTCATTTTTTTCTGAAATTTTCTATTTCAGTGGTATGGAGATGTCAGCTCAGCTTTGTTTCTTCCGGGGTCTTGATTCATTGGAGGTAGATGCCAACGTGCTGGAGGTCATCCATCAAGGAAAAACGTTACGTTTTGCTTATCCGCCAGACGATTCGGATAGTCGCAGATATACGGTGAAAATGGATAACAACGTCCACGTTCTTCTACCAGAAATGACGCTTGAGGTATGTTTGATTTACTTTTGACCTTTTCATGAAATTGTTATAGGCTTGAGCATTCTTTAATGTACTAAAACAACGTAAGCCTATGAAACACACTTTTTGTTCATATATTCAATGTATCTATGATATTAGATCAAGGCTAATTATGTTTATTTAATCTGTGTACTTTTAGTATCAAAGCGAGGGCGTTTGGCTTCGTACTCAAGTGGTTGATTTCTGTGTCCAATTCATCGACATGGCGAAATTTGCTGCATTTGTCTCAAAACTGTCCGATATCGCCGGTTATCAGCAGGTTTAATTTTATTTTTATTCATAATATTTAATTTATTAATTTGGAGTTACCGTACTTTCTATAATAGTACGGCAGTCTCTAATTAGAATTTGCTAAAATGTGGATCATAAGTATTTTTATTCAGTATCCACTGTCAGAAAGCGAAAACGTTTCTTATTGTGCACTATCTCTAATAGTGCGGCGCCGTACTATTATAGAAAATACGTAACTAGGTTTCTAAAAAAATGAGCATGACGAATGATGGATAAAGAAGAATGTTTAGTTGGTTGTATCAGATGGCGATGTATCCACAGAAATGGAAGAAGAGATTGACGTTTTCGAGCAAGAAGATTTTGAACATGGAGCGAATGAATACATGTTAGTTGTGTTGTTTTTGCTTGAAATAAAATTTTGCATGCATGATTTATCAAAGTTGAATAGGTTTGCTTGCCCAATATTGCTTGATTTGGTCTAAATTTCTGGTTTTTCGTATATCATTCATGGTATGTAGGAGTAATGGATTATTTTCAGTTCCATGAGGCCTCGATTCAGCGTCTTTGAAGACTTGACGCAGTTGTTTATGGATGCAAGCACGTATGGCGCTCACAATCGGCGCAGAAACGTATCGTTTTCGACATCGAATGCCTCTTCCTCCTCCTGGTCCTCTTCGTGGACGTGGTGGTGTTCGTGGACGTGTTGTTGGTGGACGTATTGTTCGTAGACGTGGTGGTCGTATTGCTCAAGGGGCCCTAGGCCGTGAGGTCGGACGACGTACATTTGGACTAAGTCAAACTATTCCACCCGGCAAATGGCAAACTTTGATGATTCCAGGCGTGATGCAGGAGGTTATTCTTTATATATATATATATATATTAAGTTTCCTTTTGTGGCAATTAAATGTATCATTTTATTTTCAGCACTTGAGGCGAAACGGACGATACGAGGATGTCTGCGAAGTGGACTTGTACATCGAATTCAGCGACGCGCGGCATGAGATGGACTTCAGATTGGATCTCGAAGCCAACAACTATACTTTCCAACCATAATCGTTGTTGTTTGTTGTTGCCGTAAATGTTATTTATGTTATGTTATTTGCCGTTTGTTCAACCCCTCGTTTCCTTGATCGCCAATAAATTTGTTATTTCATAATTTCAATTTTTGAGAAATTTGTCTTGTACAAATTTTGGATATTCTGAACTACCGAGTGCTTTGCATTTCGTTTGCGACCACCTGATGCGCATCGTCGACTTTGCATCACGGTAAAACGAATTGAGAGCACAGGGCCAGCTTGAGAGGACTTCTCGAGGAGTCGAGATTCGCTGACGTTCCGGTGAAGACCAACGTAGAGTGAAGCCATCGCGTCCAGAGAGAGTAGAGCGAAGGTCCAGAGTTCATCGTTGGAACAGTTGTGGTGACTGGCACGCTCATTTCTAAACAAAACAAATATCATTTGATGCGATTTGAAAAAAACAAGTCCAAAGCATTAATAACTAATAAAAAGTCGTCACGCGTTTCAAACTGTGAAATTTATTTTGTGATATCTTACTGATTTTGGCTTGCAACCTTTACCGTAGCCAAAGGTCGCAAATTTGTCGGATTTTTAATTGAGTGCCCGAGGAATATTTGAATTGACAACTAATCACTTGAATATCTTAATTGGGAAAATTCTTAGTTGATAAATCTATTTTAGATTTTCATTGTTGCGGTTGTTTTTACCTTCCTGGATTTCAAAACTTTCAAGCTTTCCGTTCGAGACATACCGACCAATATTTTTTATCTCTCTTCGCGCTTAGGTATTTCTATTCGCGCAGATTACGACATGTTTCCCCTTCTCGTACTATCGTCATCCAGTGTCGTCTATCTTGGGTATTCTTGGTTATTCATTCTGGTCTGTGCTAGTTGTTGTCCCGGCATTTGAATTTTGGCCATTCAATCTCTTGCCCCATTCGCTTTTTTGCTCCATCTTGCCATCGGCTTTCCGATTAGTCTGTTTTGGTCAGGTGACAGCCATTCTGTGATATTTTTTTGTCCATATATTCTATGTTCTTCTCTCCATCACCTTGTCTCTCAGGGGCCTCTGAGTCCTAAGAGCTGGCGCATGTCGGGACTTCTTAGGCCTTGATAGAGCTGGGTCTTCCTATTATGGTTGACCGGTTTTCCTTCTAGGACTCTATGCGTTGTCAATGTTGCTTGCTCATTGGTTGCTGTTGCGATCCAGGTCTCAGTTCCATAGCATACCGCTAAGAGAACGGTACTGTCGAATAGATGTGCTAATTGAGCGCACCTCAATGGTGATAAAAACAATTTCCTCATTCCCAAACACAATTATCGAAACTAAGTTTTCAATTTCAATTTCAATTTACACGATCGAAAGAGCGTTAAAAGTAAAAAAAGGAGTTTTAATTAAATAGTTATCCATTTTAGAATGCGAGAAGGGCGTACCCGTGTCCATTTGCTTGAGTGTCGGGAGACAATTTTTCAGCTTTTTCTTATCCATTTCTACGAAAAATTCTTCTTCCATTTTTAAATAGTTGAGATAAAACAGTAAATTCCGGTTACAATTTGTGATTTCACGGAAGCCATCCTCTACTCCATTTGATATTTAACTTTAGGTTTTTGCATTTTTTGTTCAGAGTATGCTTGGCTACAAATATTGTTTTTGGTCTCTGACAGCTTTTGATCTACTTTTTGATACGCAAAAATAAAGAAAGTTTGTTTTCTTGTTTGCTTTTTTGGTCCTTGTTTTCCTTTCTTGGTTTTCAAATGAAGTGTCCAAAGACTTATCGGTCAATCTAATCCTGGTTTGTGACCTCATCAACCCTAGAAAGATCTTGTAAAAAGAAAAAGACGGCTAATTAAGTGAAAAGCTTGATAGGTGATTAATTGGGGTTCAAATTCCATTAATTTAGAGCCTCTTTTTCTATCTCACTCACTTGCATCGGACAAATGTTCTCGATCTGCATGAACATATCAAAGTGAACCGAGCCGTTTGCATAAACCTTGCACTGTTTGAAACGCTCTGAAAGACCTTCATTGATTATTGGACTAAAATCAAATACACATATGCATTTAATGATTTTAGTAAGGTTTGGCTTACTTTTTTCAAGATTACACCCCCTTTCAGCGAATTCTCGCAAAATTGGTCTCTTCACGGAGGCCCTCGCTGGGATCAAGGATATGACTTCATGCGCGATGAAGTACACCATTTTCGAATCAAGTCTGATTTGAGTAAGACTTTAAATTTTTCGTCACCTAAATATCCTGAATGATAGACTCATTGCTTCGGTGTAAAACCTGGTTGATCCTCGTTATCTTTAGATGTGCCAGTCGGCGAGGTATGTATTGTGGCTTTATCTTCTAGAGCGAACGACGCCTCGTTATGTAAGTTGTTTTGTTTGTCTTAATTTTTGCTTATCCTTCTTTTTATCTTTTGAATATAGATCCTTTTATAGCATGAATCATGTTGCTGCCACCTGGAGATCTGGTTGCGTTGATGAACCACTTCAATGAGTCTAGCAACCCCATCAACTCTCAAATGAACTTGATTGATTGAGACTCACCATGAAAGAATTTTTCTGTTGATTTTTCAGCGTCAGCCAGGCCTAGGTCAGAGTGCCAGAGTGTTTCTTAGAATTCTATGGGGCGTTTTGTAGCTAGGTCCGGTTTCAAAAATCGGTGACAAGTTGAAAAAGTTCCTTAGTTAGACATCGGCTACTATATCTTCCAGGCTCCTGTCTAGTAATCTGGAGCACTCTCCTCTGGTTTGTGAGCCAGCTACTAGCTTTTTTACAGTACTACAGTATGATGTGATTTACATTACAAAATACTATTGGGTTGGGGAGAATGAGTCGGCGCCGAAATTTAAAGAAACTTTTTGCACCCATAAAACCTTCTAAATACACGTTTTGATTCATCAAATGGTCGACTATTCTTACAAATGGCTTTGAGAGATTCCACGAAGCTTTTGGGATTTTATGGATTCCCAAACACAGCTAATCAAAATGACAAAAGTCCGACTCATTGCTTGAACAGTTTCTTCCATAAACCTCCTTGGTGTTTATATAAAAGATAGAGCACACTAATATAAGTTACTAAATTTTCGGGAAGATCCCTCCAACCGTTTACCTAGATGACAGTTTATCGATTTTGTGAAAAAATGATCCTTTGTTGAGTTGAGGCGCTGTTTGAGTTCTCTTTTAAATATTATTTTGTAGAGAATTAGTTACCCTTCTACGGATATCAAACGCATATCATTTGGCAAAGTCTGCTATAAGTTTTAGAAATTTCTTTGATTTTCGGCGCCGACTCATTCTCCCCAACCCAATAGAATATTTAGCCCGCTATCTTTTAGATAAGCATCGCTGCATATCTCAATCCGTCTCGAGATTCACCGGGTATATTCAATTAAAGATCAAATTCGGCATCTACATACATTTGTTGCGCGAGGAATACGATTCTTCTAAAGGAAACATTTAACGAGAAGTTCACTCATTTCCAGAATGTCTAAATGGAATGCCAGAAGTATTAAAAAAATGACGTTTTTCAGCACGATAAGGCTTGATAAAAGTTTTTTCCTTACGTTTTTGAGAAAAAGACATTAACCATAAGCAAGATATAGATCTAGATATTCGCGGAATTTGGTAATACCCAAAAATAACGTTCAGCGAGACTCGTTTCATAAAATAAAATCTAAACGTATTAGTGTCACATTAGTGTCTAGACACCACAATATCTTTCGGAGAACTCTACGAAAAATTGATTGGCAGCTTAATTCTCCCACATTAAGGAAAGAGTCCATTGTTTAATACTTATTACTCAACTTATCCAGTTGTTGAGAGTTCATAAGTTCTCATGATTATCGAATTTATAGAGGCAAATGCTATCGTAATCATAATGTAAATATGCAGAAACTAAGTCCAAAAACCATAATTTTTTGGCTAACTGGTTCAACTTGCTAAAGCCAAAAAAGTTGTAGCGGGTGGCGCGAGGAATGCGATTTTGCGATTTTGCGTCGTTTTTTTTACAAGATCTTTCTAGGGTTGATGAGGTCACAAACCAGGATTAGATTGACCGATAAGTCTTTGGATACTTCATTTGAAAATCAAGAAAGGAAAACAAGGACCAAAAAAGCAAACAAGAAAACAAACTTTCTTTATTTTTGCGTATCAAAAGGTATTCCCAAATGAATTTTGATTGCTCAAAGGGTCTAAAACATAAAATCAAGAAAAGAAAAGAAGAATCGATGACAGATAAAAAGGTGAGGTGTTCCCATTGTTTCGGACCAGAATTTGAAAAAAGACGATACAAGCAAAGTACCAAATATCCAAGATTCTGATTCTAAAATGATTCACAGATGCATTAACCTTATTTCTCAAAAACTCAAAATAGATATACTTATTTACCTTATTTTCAAAGACTAAATTTTCTTGCTTACGAAGGGTAAATGCTTATCAACTTATGAAATTTCGAACGAAGATTGATTCTCCTAGCCATTTAATCCTTTTTTCACGTTTAAACCTTATTTACTTTTTTCCTGGCACGATTGGTTTTTGCGAAAGGGGTAAATTTTCTTATGAATGTTTCAAAAAATTGCGACTTGAACTGAATAAAAAAAAGCCTTAAAAAAGCTCACAAAAAAGCCCAGAAACTGTTTTCACCTAACATGATTCAAAAGTATAATCGGTGTCAAATACCTTTCTTAGAAATGCATTTTTTATTTTGAGAAAGCTATCGTAATTGAGCAGCTAGTTGAATTCGGTTTTTTCATTAGAGTCCTCACCACTGGAATCTTTACGGAATAGCTAAAAGCTTAGCACAACTCTTAACTTGAATCTTGATTTCCTCTTGAAATCATGAAGTCATCGTTGAAGTGCCTGGAGATTCCCATCAATATTTCCCCGAGCTCTCAGGCTTCTGGGGTGATTCTCCGGAGAAAATCGATCCAAACACCCAGTTATTCTGTCTACACATTTTCATTCTTTTGCATTAATTTGCATTGATGGATAGCCTTATTCCAGTTCTTTGCATCGGAGATCTGCTCTAAATAGAAATCTGCCCAGCTTTTATCATCTTCTGAATCTCTTCTGAAACAGAATGGGCATAGCTGTGAATCACTTGTGAATCAGTGCTATTAAACTGGACTACAGAACGTTACAGTAAACTCTCAAAAACATTCAAAAGAATAGGCTTGATGAGAGGCCTGAAGGAGAAGTGGTCAGGCTGTGTTGATAAAATAACTTCATATTCAACCCCGTACAAAAAAAACTAAAAAATAAATCTCCAAAGATTAGACCTTTTGATAAAAATCGATATTTGTTTTGTTGATCTTTATTTTTTGCTTATAAACAATGGAAATATGTCAGCGAATCAAAAGAAGCACAGCAGTTGTTACAGCGGCCGCATTTTTCCGACGCCTAAAAATTAGCTCAAAAAAGTCTTTGACATCTAAACATTGGATGGAATTGCTTATTGGTTATATTTTATTTGTTTCTAATAAGCATCATTAGATAAGCATAAGGTTCGAAAAGAAATTAATAATAAGGATACGATAGCACATTCGAGTAGTAAGCTACAGTAAAGCCTGGTTAGCAAAACTGTATAACAAAGATCCTGGAGAGTAAAGAGGTTTTTAGAGACTCAAAGAGAGAAAGAAACAGAAAGTCCTTATAAAGAAACGATAGCATACTCGGCAACGATTAAATAAGGCTTTCTTACGACTCCAGCTCGAACAGCACACTCATGATTTCTGATCCGATAATGCGAGTAAAGCCAACTAAGCATCTGCCGTTCACGCGCGACCACACCAATCATTGAGCTCGTCTTGCAGTGCCTCTCTACGTAATATTCAAGCAATGAAATCATATTGGGTGTGATGTACTGGGAGCTTTTCCAGAGAGCGTCTGGTAGCTCGTCGACTACGTCTGTTGGTTGTTGACATGAGCTTCGAGCTATTCTGTAGACCTTTTCCTTATAGATACTACTAAACGCCAGGGTCCGGTTGCAATAATTCGAATAACCGGGAAAAAGAGTAGATTGATCGTAGACTGCCACATAGAAGTAGCCGACGTATTTGTTTTCGAGCTCTGTGAATAACTCTTTGACGATCTCATCATTATTTTCCGGGTGCCTGTCAATGATTTCTTGAGCCAACGACTTTGCTGATGATTGCCAGGCGTCACGAAAAATATTCTTCGATTCCTCAATAAGAGAAAGAATATCTATCAAGATTCTTTCAAAATTCTTCTTTATCACATTTTCTGATGCCATTGGGTGTAATTGTTCACAGGAGCTGGAGAGTATCGTCAACGATTTCAGCAGATTATGCAACCAACTTTCAATTCTTGTGTACTCTTTCTCGTCTCTTTTGTCGCCTGGCATGGCTAAGCGTAGCGAGTTGAGGGTTGCTGATGGTCCTTGTAACCGTTCGCGGAACTTGCTCGCTAGGTCATTCGGCGGATTCAAGGAGCACCTGAAAACAATGATGTCTCTTGTTTTTAGTAAGTATTTAGCAATTTTAAATATTTTAATATTTTAATAATCCTTATTTATTTATTTTTATTAAATTAATATCTGTTCATAAAGAGATCAAAGACCGACCAATCTTGAAACGTTTCCAAAGTCCTCTTGGTATTTAGCTTCCAGAACTTCTCCAAAATGAACATTCCGGTGCCGATTTTGTCGGCGATTTGTGATCGAAAATCGTGAAAAGCTTGGAGATATTCGATTTTGTTGAAGCGAATGTCGACTTTTCCGAACTCTTTCAGCATCACTTCTTTCAGCTCTTTGAGAAGAGTGACCGACTCTTCGGGTATAAACACCAAGACGACCGCTCCAACAGCACCGACCACCGGAGCGACGGCCGTGAAGAGTGTCATGAGCTTGGCAACTCTCCTACCCAATGTCGCGGGGTCCATCTTCTAAAAAAGTCAGTGATACAGTTGATTTCATAAATGATGCTTAAGTTAATGAACCTGAAGAAATAGCCTGGCGCCCTCCTCTGTCAACTTAATAGCGGCAAACGATTTCTCGACGACCTCTCGCAACTCCCATTGGCTCTCCTGCATACAATACACCACAATACATTGTAGAAATTTTGTGTTATATAGGATGCGCCCAAGGTTCTGTTACTATGTTCTAAAATGATCTACAAAGAACAAAAAAACGGTTGACGTAACATGCTGGAATTTAAAAATATCAAGACGACCATTAAATCATTGAGATGCAAGAGGAATTTTGGTCAAAATATGGCTCTTGCATTTTCTACAATGTAGCGACAGAACTTTTGGCACATCTTGTATTATAGAGAGCAAACCTTGTTATTTAGATCCACATTAGGGAGGGTCACATTACCAATCTCTATGCGGCCAAGTCGGAGCTCCGGGATCAAATGACTGTGTTTGATACGATGATGGTGATGTAGATCGGTGGTACTATTAAAGTTGAGTCTAAATCAGGATAGTTTTTGACCAAAAATTAAGTTCAATACGGTGTTTCTCAATTGTACAATGATATTCGGCTCCAACTACACAGAGTGGCTACAAAGTATTGCGAAAAATCAAAAGGCCAGTGTAGAATTGAATTTCATACTACTATTTCAATATTTCTTTTTCTTTAAAGACTTGTTTGATTGTCACTCATTATTTAGTGAAACATTTAGTTCATAATTTAGGTACTACTGAAGTAACCGGCGTCGAGAAGCCATCGTTCGTCTTTGGCAACCTGGGATCAAACCGTTAGCCATCGCGAAAAGACTCTCCATTGACAAAATGGCAGTCTATCGAGCGCTCAATCAATGGCAACAAACTAATTCAATCGAGGAGAAGGCCAAATCAGGACGGAGTTTGTGGAAGAGCTAACATGCACTGAACGAAGTACAATT